AGTTTAAAAAATGGTAAAGGGCCTAAATAGACAATTCTCCAAAGAGGACATAGAGATGGCCAAGAGTCATGAGAAAATGCTCAATGTCACTAATCAGAGAGATGCAAATTAAAACTACAGTGCGATATTACCTCACACCTGCCAAAATGGCTGCCATCAACAAATCTTCAAACAACAAGTGCTGGCGAGGGGGTGGAGAAAGGAGACTCTAGTACACTGCTGCTGGGAATGCAGACTGGTGCAGCCACTATGGTGAATAGTGTGGAATTTCTCCCCCCACCCCCCAAAATTAAAAATGAACTGCCATTTGACACAGTGATCCCACTTCTAGGAATATATCCTAAGAAGCCTGAAACACCAATCAGAAAAAATATATACACCCCTATGTTCATAGCATCACTATTTACAGTAGCTAAGATCTGGAAACAGTCCAAATGTCCACCAGTAGGTGAGTGGATAAAAAGGCTGTGGTACATTTACATAATGGAATACTATGCTGCTTTAAGAAAAAGAAGGATCTCTTATTCTTTGAGACAACATGGATGGACCTGGAGAGTGTTATGCTAAGGGAAATAAGCCAGTCAGAGAAAGACAAGTATCACATGATCTCACTTATATGTTGGAATCTAATGAACAAAATAAACTGATGAACAAAATAGATCCAGAAACATGAAAACATGGAAAAGACTGATGAATGTCAGAGGGAAGGTGGCAGGGGGTGTAGGAAGAGATGAACCAAAGAACTTATGTGCTTGTATGCATTACTCATGGACACAGACAGTAGTGTGTTGAAGGTTTTAGGTGTTGAAAGCTGGGTGGAGGAGGTCAGCCGTGGTGGTGGTGGTGGGGGAGAGTATCTGTAATAATTTCAACAACAAAGATAAGTTTAAATTAATAAAATAAAAAGAAATTATTTGTCACTTTTTCTTTATGCACTTCACACTATTATAGTATGACTTAGTTTCAGGACAGAAACTTGCTTTCAAGTCCAGCAGCCTTTCTCTGAATTTCTGACACATTCTAGTTCCTATTCTCCACTTTCCCCAAACTCCTTATTTGCTTAGTGGCTGAAGTGATGTCCTAATGCATAGAGACTGCAGACTATGAGCTTCCTTAGTTTTCTGACCTCCAGGCCCCCCAACACTCCTGCACAGCCATCTTCTTTCCTAACTCAAAGGAGGAGAAAAGTAATTTTCCTCTTATTCAAAGGTAATTCCTTTCCCTGGATCCCATCTCCATTTGACGCCTTCAGAAACCTTACTCCATGAGGTAGTTAGCTCCTTTCCCAGAAATCTTCAATCAGCCATTCCTGTCCCTTCCATGTTTCCCTCCCAGACCTGTTCATCTACTTCTGTTCTTTCTGTTAATGCCAGCTCCCCCACCCTCAGTCACTAAGCCTGAAACCCTAAGTTAGCCCAGTGCTTCCCATCTCCTAATTCTGTTGATCCTACCTCCTAAATAACTCTTTATCCCTTTCTCCTGATGACCACTGCCTAAGTTTAGACCCATGACATCTATTACCTGGACCACTGCCATAGCATCCTACCTAGTCTGTCTTCTCTAGCCTTTCCCTCTTCCTTGACTGTGTCCCTCTCCTTAATAATCTTCAGTGGCCTTTCATTGCTCACTAGGCAACGTATACATGTGTAGGCATGAAAAAGGCCCTGTCTGTCTACCTCTCTTCTCCTACCATGCCAGTCATTCCCACCCCCACTCTTCCTTGGAATTCTCTAAACATCTCATTGTTTCACTCATGCTGTGTGCTTTTGATTTCCTTGTAACAGCCTTTCCTAATGTTCACATACACACACATACCCATGGCTCACCTGGCTGACCTGCTCATCCCTGAAGACTCAACTCTTGGGTTGCATCTTAAGCCTGAGTAGTGCCCCTCCCCCAGCTTCCCTCACCCTTGGTAGATGCTTTCACTAGAGCATTTTCACTGTGTATGTATTTAATAGGAGAAACCCACAATACATTCGCCAATATCCTTTTTTTTTAAAAAAAGAATGTTTTCTTTATTGCTTTTGGAGAGAGGAAGGGAGAGGGGGAGAGAGAGAGAAATATCGATGGGAGAGAACATCAATTGGCCGCCTTCTGCATGCCCCCCACTGGGGATCAGGCCCACAACCTGGGCATGTGTCCTGACTGGGAATCGAACTGGCGATCTCTCGGTGCATGGGTCGACGCTCAACCACTGAGCCACACTGATTGGGCAAGCCAATATACTTTTTATCTTTGTATATGTCATCATTTAATTAATGTTTATGAATAATAAAAATATGAGCACCTTTTTAAGTGGTTTAAAAAAAACAAACAAAATTTGAAACAAGAAAAAAACCAGCCCCAAATTGCTCAAGCTGCCTTTATAAAAAGCTGTCCAAGAAGAAAATATGTAAATAATTTTCTAAAGATTGCTTTCTGAGGTAATTGTGTGATCCTTTAATTAGAGAACATTGGGTCTGCTTGGACAGTTAAACCCTTTCTTCAGCATGTGTAATATGAAGAACTGTCCCAAGATTTGCAAAATGCCACATTCACTACTTCTTTTGTGAAGGTGAGGAAGACTCAGTGCTATTTGCTGGAGCCCTTTTTAAAGTAATTTCACACGGTCTACTCTGCTTTTGTAACATTAAGACCCTTTACCATGAGATAACTGGCAGGTACACAAAAGTGTGGACTTCCTCCACACTTCCGGTCCCTTCTTATGAACCTTACCAAGGTAAGAGACTGGACTCTCCTGAGATCTGGCAAACAGGAAGCCAGTGTGTATCTCAAAGACTTTCCCTAAAAATAACTTCACGATTCTCTAGCTATTTATATATGATTCTATAACCTTTCTTATGAGTCAGTACTATCTAGTTCGCTCCTTCTCCTCAGAGTAAAGCAAGATTGCATAGTTTATCCAGTTTATTCACTCAAGGAACATGGACCAACGCAAAGATATCAGTGTATCTGAATGTTGATCTTGGGCTCTGCTTCAGGAATTCCAGGAAATACTTTCAATTTACAGACTCTGAACATCATTAACAATCCAGAAGTAACTATGTCTGCATTCCTGACATTTTTTCATAAAAGACATAAAAGGGGTTATGGCCGCCTTTTCCAGAACACCACGATGTTTAGTACTGAAGCTCACTTGGCAATACAGAGTTACAAGCACAGAACTGCTTGGAATGAGCACCAGGTTATGCATTGCAGCATAAATGGATATTTTTCCAATAGTAGTATTTTGAATTTTGATACACCATATTTCATTGATTTTAATATTATTCTTTTTTCATTTTAACATCTATGAAATTGGCATTTATCTTATAATCAGTGGTTTGTTATAATTTAGTTGACATGGTTTTTCTAAATGGAATATACAGGGTGGGGCAAAGCAGGTTTACAGTTGTGAGTACACAAAACACAAGTTTATTCTTCTGCTATTATTTATTGTATTATTTTTCTATACAAACAACTGTGAACCTACTTTTGCCATACCCTGTATGCATCTTAGGTTTAGTGTAAGTCTTGTGTTCAGTAGCATCTTAAGTTTGAAGGGAATGAGTTTTATATATATATAAAACTATAGATCTCTTAAAAATCATTTCCTTGGTTTTTGAGACCTATTTGATACATAAATAGAACAGCAGTAAAAATGACCATTTTATCTGTGAATTTCATTATTTGCAACGGCTGTTTTGGCAGATATTTATGTTGAAACCAAATCATCACATTCTGATGTTCACTCCTTATATTACTGTTTTCTGCAGAGGAAATCATATATATAAAAGAAATAATCTCAAATAAATGTAATTTGATACAGCTCGGTGGCTTCCTTCTTCCCTCTCCCTTTCCTTTTAACTTATTTCTTGAGGACATTTTTCAGCCAGTATTTGCTCAGAAATCTTATAATGTTGCTGATAATATTCATTTTTTTTTCTTTTAGTCTCTAATATTTGGGGTTTGGATTCATTACTTTTCTATTTTACCAATAGTTTTTCATCTGAGTTAAGGTAGAATGCTTTCTCTTTCCTGTACATAAAAGTCTATAGGGATCTTAGCACTGGAATCTTTCTTTTTGTGGGTTCCTTCATTAGGGATAAAGGAATCAAATGCGGTACAACCTTTATGAGTTGGAATGATTACTGAATAATTCCTATGCGAAAATAGGGTTCCCGACTAACTGTAGTTTCTTTTTTTTTTTTTTTATCCTCACCCGAGGACATTTTTCAATATTTTGTTCAGATAGAGTGGGAGGGAGAGAAAGGAAGAGAGAGAGAGAGAAACATCGATGTGAAAGGGACACATCGAGTGGCTGCCACCCACACGACCAACCAGGGCCGGGGACAAACTGCAACCGAGGTACGTGCCCTTAGCGGGAACCGAACCCGGGTCTCTCTGGACCGCAGGCGGACGCTCTAACCGCTGAGCCAAACTGGCCAGGGCCCGACTAACTGTAATTTCTAAAATATATTCATTCTCTTTGCTAACATGTTAAGTATCAAATGGTTTTGAACAGGAATTGGCCGTTTTTAATGATTCAGTTGTGACCAGTTACTAAGTATCACCTTCAACATCTGTGGCCCTAACTCTGGTCACAGAGGACAGAAGGTGGATCACCTGGCAAAATCTGTCACAGGACCCAGACATACTCTCCATTGTTCCTTACCCTTCGTGCGTGGTGCTCAGAGCATGCCAGTGTTTGTATAGCACATAGGTAAAGCTTCTTACAGCTGAAGGGAACAGTGGCAAAACTCCAATGTAGAAATTATTTTCTAAAGTAAATTGCAGAATATTTGGTTTTATTTACCATCATGTCTAAGACAAAGAATAAATCAAACTCTGAAAGGAATTTTCACTGCTTTTCAATTTAACTCAACTAAGGTTTTGCCTTAATGTGATCACAGCAGCCTCTTCATTACCCACAGTGGCTCCTGTGTATTAGCACTCTGGCAGGAGACAGCCTTCTCCCCGTGTCCCCCTCCGGCCACTTTGTCTCTCTTCTTTTTCAGGTCCATACGTTCAGAGGGCCACACTGGTGTGAGTACTGTGCCAACTTCATGTGGGGTCTCATTGCTCAGGGAGTGAAATGTGCAGGTAAGAGCTCCTCCCTCTCCCTGTATTGAGTACACTATGAAGTTACAGGAGGATTAAGGAGATTTGCTGTTGTACACAATGGGCTGGATCCTGATTTGCTCTTAACACACGTGCGGTCGTCTGGATTTTCAGCCAGCCACCTTGGAAATTGATATTTTATCTGCCCTTAACCTTGCACTTAATGAACAGCAGACTAGGGATCTGGGATTAGCCCATTAAAAAGAGAGAAGTCAGCTTGGTCAAAAAGTCTGATAAAAGGAGATTAAAGTAAGGCAGTTATATTTAACTGTTGTCTTTGATGTTGCAGGAACTAAATTTATAAAAATGATTTTTTTTTTAAAAGCAGTATACAGGCAGGGACCTATGATTGTTGCCTTGGAAACTGAATTTTAAAGATAACTTGTTAAGCTGGATTGTCCTTGCTAAATTTTTGTGAAATAGAATTGAAGCTTTAAAAATCTGTGAATTTATCTTCAAAGAGGCTTACCAAATTCTGAAAAACCACTTAGTCACTAGTATTTTGTTTGCGAAATTTTGAATATGCCAAATCTTTTTTATAAACTATGACCATACTATTTTTAGGTTTAAATTTAGAAACTTTAAAGATTTATACCTAAAGAAATAACCAACTCTGGGACATATGAAATGCTTTATAAAATACGTGGTTATTCACATCACGTGAAATTCATTTATATATAACTGCTATACAGAGTCTTGGCCATTTATTCAAACTACCCTAAATTCTGGCATAAGCTTAAAGATAACCACTTAAATTTTAAAAACATAGTGTTTGGTCATAGAAATGTCTTTCTGCTATTTAAATTGTAAAACTGAAAAATGGCTTCTTACATGTTGTTTAGCATGAAGATTAACATTAAAAATGTATATTAAGAATAAAGTATTTCAAACTGGTAACTACAGAAATCCTGTCAAATCACTGTAAAACCCCACATTTCTTTGTGGCATGATTTTTTATGGAATCTCTTTGTTGTCCGTTATGTGTAGAAAATTCTAGGGTCTGATTTTCCTTGTTTCTAAATTTCATTTTCATTGAATAACAAGGTGCAGTGTGCATTGCATGGGAATGGCCAAATCGCCCGTTTCATTACGATTCCTGGGGTGTCACAAAGGCAGGATCAAGTTCCAGGCATACATCACCAGCCAAATTCGTTCAAGGACCTGCCACAGGGAAGGACAAGAGTGCCCACGAGTTGCCTTTGATCTGTGCAGGGGTGTCCGATTAGGAGTCTCAGCTCAGATCCAGTCTAACTCTTCCATCATCCTAGAGGGACAACAGATCCATTAGAGAGTAAATAAAATCAATGGTACCATTCTGTCCAGTGGGTACCCAGAAGCAAGATGAGGAATATTATTGGGAAGGCTGTTTTTGATCCTTTGAACTGCAGGGATACACAGTGGAACATAAAATGTTGATAAAATGGTGGTGTTAAGACCATTGACAATTTGTGGTTTTTCAAAGGCAAATGGAATTTTTTTCCACCTGCTCAAGGCTTGATGGTCTCAAAAGCCTGGGTTGCCTTTATAACACAGCCTTGACCAGCTGAGACTCTGCAACCATTTCTTAAACACTTTATGACTGCCACTTTATAACTTAGAAGCTTTTCTTTTACTAGAGTGTGTGTCATTTACTTTTTGAAAGAGTAAAGGCCATTGCATAAGAATTCAGAGTCAGCTATTAGAAGAGAATAGGTCCAACACATATGAACAATCTCTAGCAATGTGCTACATTCCCAAATATCGTGTTTGAATGAAATGTTTTGGAACACTTATGATGGTAATAAAATGAAGAGAAGGAGCAAGAAAATGATTCACTGCATCTTACAGCCACCTGCATTAATGGCCCTCACCTTTGTTATGAGTAAAGGGCAGGGAATGAAAGAAAAGCCTTGAGAAGATTTTTCATTTTATGTTACATCTTGTCCTTAATAGCATTATTTTATGTGATTTGAACCATATTGATGTGTAATATAAGAGTAAGTTATCTCGTTGTTTTAAAATGTGGAAGTTGGAATTTGAATTAGTTCTGTGTTCTATGACACCTAATTACAATTGGATTGACAGTGAGGTTCTTAGATGTGAAGTGGCTCATCCTGACCTTTGAGCCATCCACTTGATCTAAAACATCTGAGATGCAAAGAATTAAGAATTTAAAGAGAGAGAACTAACTGGTAGGCTGAACAGTGGCTCCCCAAAGATTTCTACTTCCTAATCCTCAGCACCTGTGAATATGTTGCCTCAAGGGACTCTGTGATGAAGCTAAGGATTTTGAGATGGGAGAGTCTCAGGATTGCAATCACTACCATGAGGGTAATTATAGGAGGGAGGCAGGAGAGGCAGAGTCCCAGAAAGATGTAAGGACAGAAGCAGAGGTCAGAAAAGAGAGAGAGTGCTGTGCCTCTGGCTTTGAAGATGGAGGAAGGGGGCCAGGAGCCAAGGAATGAATGCAAGCAGCCTCTACAAGCCGGAAAGACAAAGGAAAGAAACACATTCTCCCCTGGAGCATCCAGAAGGAGCACAGGCCCATCAACACCTTGATTTTAGCCTAAAGAAACTGATTTTGGACTTGTGACCTCTGTAACTGTGAGATGATCAACTCATGTTGTTTTAAGCCACTAAGTTTGTGGTAATTTGTTACAGCAGTAAGAGGAAGTTAATGCACTAGCTACTGAACATTAAAGATACTGCTTCCAAAGAAAAATAGCAGGCTTTACTGCCCATCAGAAAAGATGCATATATATGCTTTTGATCCCTCAGACGGCCTGCTTTGTTCTGGATTCTTTTTCTCAGACTCCAAGGCAGAGCTGTCAGGAGTTTTTAAAGGAGTGTTGGCCCAAAGCAGCAATTTTGTACCCCCCCCCCTTTTTTTAACATTATATAAAATGTTGGGTGGTGTTGCAGTCACCCGACTGGCAGAGTTGCTGGAGGAATCAGAATGAATCCAGCTAATAGCAGGCCAGCTAACAGAGAGTCCGGTGTGCTGCTACGCACTGCACAGCCGACGAGGATGAGGGAGGGAGTAGCAGGGAGAATCAGGAGGACACCAGTCATTACAGACAGGATCGGTTCAAACCCCTCAGCACAGGTTCCATGAAATGTCTCCTCTACCAACACCTCCCTCACCTTCTTTAAAGTGAGTCAGATGTTACAGGAGAGTATCTCACTGCAGCTTGGGAGTGGCGTTCCTCCTACTGAGATATTTCTGAGTGAAATAGGTATCCTTTAAAAGTCAACTTCAAAAGATCATCATTGCTCAGGTAAAGTAGTAGTTTCTAAAACTGATTTTCCTTCTTTATGAAATGTAAGCTCATAGGTTAACGTAATCTATTATTATTACATAATCATTGAGATGGCCAAACATCCCTGCCACGAAAAAGACTATTCCACCAGCCTTCCTGAATTGCTTTCATTTTAGCCTTACCTTACCAGAATATTGTAAGAAATTAGCCAGATAATTTTGTTGTAAATCAGACATATCAACTTAGTATTGGTTGTTCATTTTCCCTGTCTATTATCATTACTGCCAGTCCCCAAAAGGAAATGGCAGCTGTTTATTCCTAATAACAAAATGTATTTATTGTTTTAAATACATAAGCATTTAACTTCTAGGTTGAAGAAAGGAAGTAGAATAATATCATGTATTTTAATTACTGCTCTGATTGTACCTAAAGTGTTACATTTGTCCTTGTAAGCCAACAAGAAATTGGTTGGACTTGCTTAAAACTTTTATGTGGCGGGGGGGGGGGGGGGGGGAGGCAGTGGGGGGAAAAGGAGAAACATCTTTAAAAAAATTAATTAATTAATAAAACACTTTTATGTAGCTCCTTTTAATTGAAAGTAGTATTTTCATAAATATCCCAAAGAATAAGATATTTGTCTTAATTTTGCTTATCTGACTTCTGATGTATATTAGAAATAGGTTATTCCCACTTTTCCTGAATGGAGGGGATGGGGGAGACAATGAAAAAATATGTTTACAAATAGGAATTCTATTTGCAATTATTTAAAACATGAACTCATAGAAAAGAATGAATAATTATCTTTACTTTCAAAACATTAACATTATCCCTTAATCCTGTCAATAGAATGTAAATAATATCAGCTATTTATTTTTTAAAAAGTAGATTTATGTGCTTTCTAGATATAAAGCATACATTATGTATTTTAGAGGACTCAATCCCAAGAAAATCTGAGTAGCCTAAAGTTTGTAGTCTAAGTAATAACAATAGTTTATTAATAAAGGACAGAATAAAATGTGATTTGAATTTCTTATTTTTTTAATATGTTTATTCTATGCTTATTTACTTGAATAATTGAGAGGGGGAAGTGTGGTTTAATTATAACATAAAAGTAACCTATCAAACCAAGAGATGCAACAAATGAAATGATCTTTTATGGACTTCCCCCCCCCCCCCCCTATTTATAGTGTATATCTTCCCTGGGAGAAAAGGAACTATATAAGAGTTATATGACTTTAATAAATAAGTATGAAAACCAAATAAAGTCTTAATGGCAAACTGAAATATTGATGTAGTACTAGTCCTTGAAGCAGCAATTTTCAGAGCAAGCTCAGAGCTGGTATATTGCACTGTGAACTTAAGGATATAAAGATGCTTTATTTTAATGACTTTGCCCTATCCTTTGGTCTTCTGAAGGACTTCTTATCCAGTCCTGCCAAAAATGTGGCCTTTGACATTTATTTATAAAATCAAGTACATTGTATCAAATATATTGTATCATAATTTAATTTTATTCAAATGGAAGACAGAATATCAGTTTAAAAAACCCTTGCCTCTCCCTTAAATACCTAAATCTAAGCCTGGTCATCGCTTTATCCACTTTTCACTGAGTCACAAGTGCATGAGAGAAGAATTATGTGGGTGCTAGAAAAGCCCACAACCCATAAATGCCAACAAGTACTGACAAAAAATAATCCCAAGAAAAGCTTGCTCTTCCTAATCAAAGCCCTGGGAAAAGGGCAGTACATCTGAACAGAAATCCTAGGACTCTGTTGATGTTTAAAATGGGAGATAACTTCAAACATTCAAAGGAAAAAATTTAATATTAATATCAGACCATTAGTGTCATTTAGATGTTTTGATATTATGTGGCTGCATCAAAATTTTACTATTTTGCTTTGTACTGGATTTCCATTTAGAGTTAATGCAAAGGGAAGGAATAGGACAAAACAAGAATACAGTGGGTAGGTTTTATCACTGCTCTTTTAAAGTCTTTGCCAAATCACTTATTCATATATTTATGTGTGTGTGTGTACACATGCGTGTAACAGTAAAATATAGCAGTGTCTTTTAAACTCAAGCATATACAAAAAATAATGGGTACAGTATACATACGGAATAAGAGATTGAGAACAGCAAATTCATCTTCAGTCCTAAAAACAGTATCTCAGAGTATGTGGTGTACTGTCAGTGAAAGTGGTATATCACTCAGTGCACCACAGGCTGGGAATCATGAAGCCAAGGTTTAAATCTCAGTTCTACTGCTTTGTAGCTGAGTAACTTTATTGTCTCTGTGAAATGACATTAGGATAGGTCATTACCAATAGCCCTTTCCAACTGGATCTGTGACTTCTGTGTACACACTTAAAAAGTGTGAGGCACTATTCTGGTCAAGGGCACATGCCTCCGATGCGGTTCGGTCCCCAGCCCTGGTGGGGGGTGTCGTGTGGAGGCAACCAGTCAATGTCCGTCCGTCCGTCCATCTGTCTGTCTGTCTGTCTCTCCCTTCCTCCCTCCCTCCCTCCCTCCCTGTCTGAAGATAAATAGAAAAATATCCTCGGGTGAGGATTAAAAAAAAAAGTGTAAGGCACATCACCATTTGAAAATAATATGTAAGAATTTTTCCATTTTTGGACAAGATGAATAAATATGTTTCATTTTTTCCTTCACAATAATAATAACAAAATTGCCTAGACAAAATATATACATCAACGTTCAGAAGACTCTGAAAGTTGGAGAAAAGGAAGACTGAGTAGGGACCTCTGGACACAAGGAGCCCAGCAAGCAGCGAGTTGACTCATGGTGTTTGGGTTTTGTTTTTTAACCTCCTCTGTGTTCCAGCCTGGGCACTAGAGAAGCTTACGGCCCATAATGCCAACAGGCACAGACAAAAAATAATCCCAAGGAAAGCCTGCTCTTCCTAGCTCTGGGAGAAGCATAGTTCAGTCGGACAGAGGTCTTCTAGCCATACCTACCATTCCCCAAGTGAACACCATGAAAAAGCCACTTTGTCCCGCCCCCACAGTGGGTGTGCAGCAGCAGTCTGAGTAGAGCCCTGTTTTCCACCCCACCGTGAGAGAACAAGGGTGCATTTCCCTCCTGTGTGTCTATGAGTGGAGCCCTGTCTTCCATTACCATACTGCAGGAAGAAAGTGGCACCCCTCCTTGACTGGGCCTGTGGGTAGGACCTGCCTTGCATCCCCACCCACTTCTATAGTAGAAGCGGTATCCTCTCAGCCCAAGTCTACAGGTAGATAGCCCTCAGCCCTCACCTGCATTAATGAGATGGCTAAGACTGTAATCAAAACCGTCCACCACACCCACCCTGCAGTTCCAGCAGCACAGCACTCTGCAGCCAGGTCTGTGGCCAAACCCCGACTTCCCATCCCCACCCTGCAGTAACTAGGAGGTGGCAGCCCTCTCCTCCCAGAATGTGGGGTAAAGTCCTGCCATTTGGGTAACATACAAGTGAGATAGGCAAAATAACAATGCAAAAGCATTAAAAGGGCTTTGTAACCTAGGTTGGCATTTGAACCACAACTACAAAAGTGAGGAAGGATGTAGGCCAGAATGTATACTCAAAATCTAAACAGTTTACCTACCTGCTAATATTGAATATTTCAGTAGTCGTGTTACACTCAAAATTACACTTCATACCAAGAACCAGGAAAATCTCATCTCAGATGAAAAAGAGACAATCAACAGACACCAATTTTGAGATGGCACAGAGGTTGGAATTACCACACAAGGAAAACAGCTAGCACATAAATGCTCCAATAAGCAATTAAAAACACCTTTGAAACAAATGAAAAAAAAAAAGGAAATATCACAAAATAAGGATATAAAAAAAAGAACTAAATTGAAATTTTAGAACTGAAAATTTATTTAATAAACTCACTGGATGGGTTCAATAGCAGAATGGAGGTAACAGAGGAAGGACTCAATGAACTTGTAGATCAATAGATATTATCCAATTCAAATATCTGAGACCTGTGGGATAATAATAGAAGATTTTTACTTGTGTTATTGGAGTCCTAGAAGAGGACAAAGAGAGGCAGAAAAAATATTTGAAAAATTAGTGGCTGAAACTACCCAGATTTGGTAAGAGAGGCCGAGAGGAAAATGATGTACTTACTTGGAGATACTTTGATGTAAATGAAATGTATTGAGAACAGTGTAGATGAAGAAGCATCTATAATCCCAGACATCCAACTCCTTTTCAGGACCTCGTATTCACATCTGACAAACAGAATAGGCCCAGAGTTCAACTTAGCTCCTGACTGTAAGCCGATTATGGCAATGCCATGTCACAGCCCTGGGACACTACATTAAGAGAGGCTTCTCAGAATGTTGTTTCAGAAATAATAACAATAGCATAGTCATGGTGAATACTTACAATTCACATGTATTAATAGTAAAGCCTCACATGAACCTAATAGATAATAATTGATCTAATAATGGATAAATACGATTATTCCCATTTTACCTAACTGATGCACAGAAGTTAGGTAACTCCCTCAAAATTCTACAGTTTATAGATTCTAGATTTAACTCCAAGTTATAGGAGTTATACAAAACATTAAAATGTTCAGGGGAAACAATCTTTTAAGGGGACATTTTACCATTGATTTGCCTTATGATTGAATCAGAAATCTTATCTGTAATATAGATATGAAGAAGAATTTGGGGTTTCGATTATGTATTCATTTGTACATTATTTAACTATACACAGTGGTGTTGCATCATTTCTTCAAATAGTACAGACCAGCTCTTTGCTCTGGAAGCTTTGCCGTGTTCAGAGCTAGCAGTGTTAGTGTTTGGGCACTGTTACCACTGGCCATGGCATCCCCAGTGCTGGCTGTCCCCGTGCACACATGCACAGACTCAGCTTCCCTCTGCACCTACCTGTCTCTGCACATGGGAAGTGCTCAGTACATATGAATTCCTCCCTTAGAGACAACACAGGCCTCAAGTTCTTAGTTGAAGTTGGCAGTATCTATATATTTAATGAAAACAATGCCATTAAAAGTTTTGGCTAATTTCCTTGTCTCTGTTCATTGTTACTACCATGTATAACTAGATTGCAGCATTACTAAATGTCATAATAATGATGGTGACCAGCATTTGTCTAATATAATATGCAAAGCACCTTGAATGTATTGGTTTATTAATTCTCATAACTGTTCTGCAAGGTACTATGCTCCTCTTTCTGCCAAGACAGCAAGCAAACTAAAGCTTGTCCAAGGACCTCGGGCGGTTGCTCGGCACTGTATGATTATCAGTGGTTTTATTACCACCTGGTCATAAACTGTATACACCCCACTTGGACCAGATTTATAAGACAGCAGCATCAGGTTTTCATGAACTTAAAAACAAATGGGTTATGTTTTGAAAACAAAGATGACGTTTATTTTAGTTAAATTATTCAGCTATTATTTACCACTTTTCAGTCTAATTTAATAAAATATTTGTATTCCTTATTTCTGTTGAAAATAAATGTAAACTGGAAAATAGTTGGGTTCTAGCATTTTAGAAGTTATACCCCAGTAAAACTACAAAGCAAAGGCATAATTTCAGTAGAGGAAATAGGATATAGGTGTTATAATAGCCTAGAATCATCCATAGGCTTGAATCTCAGCTCCCAACATAGTAAACACATGGCCTTGGGTAAATTGCTTAACACCCACATGCTTGGCTTCACCGGGTTTATAAAGTGAGAAGAATAATAGTGCCCATTTTGTAGAGTTTTGTGAGTTTAAATGAAATAATAAATGTAAAGCACTTGGAATAGTGTTTGGCATTAATGAGGTGAAGATAACAGTAGTAACAAGTAACTGTCACAATTTTTAGCTATTAAAATGCGATTATATCCCACATTAAGTATATTTTTATGTAACTTTAAATAAATGGATAAAAACTTAGTTGGCTAATTGGCATATTACTTTCTGTAGACATTTAATTAAACATTTATTAATTTGATATGGTTTGGATTGGGTTGGTATTCTCCTGAGAGCATATAGCAAGTACGTGATGAAACCTGAGCTAGAAGTTTGGTCTTTTGACTCAAAATCCAAAAAATTTTGCAAAAGGAAATGGGAAGAACTGAAGCTGCTGGAAGCCAGTCCCCTTTAAGCCTAATTCAAGCTAGAGTGCCTTTTGTTTAAAAGGCTAGAATGCTCAAAACTCTGAAATAATCATTAAATTTTTCTTTCTTCATTCTTTCTTTAGACTGTGGTTTGAATGTTCATAAGCAGTGTTCCAAGATGGTCCCAAATGACTGTAAGCCAGACTTGAAACATGTCAAGAAGGTGTACAGTTGTGACCTCACAACACTTGTGAAAGCCCACATCACGAAGCGGCCGATGGTGGTGGACATGTGTATCAGGGAGATTGAATCTAGAGGTGAGGCATTTCCATGCGGTTCAGAGCACTTGTGATTCTCCACCAGTGCGAGTCCTGATGCTATCGTGGGTACCTTGTTGCACAGCCCGATTATCTTCTGAAAGTTTAGGGGAAATGATTTCAGATGGCAAATGATCTGAAAGTCTGAAATGAGTAAATTTAACAATTAAACAGCTTGATTTCAAGTTACATTTAAGCAAATTTAACCATTTACAGGAAATATTTATGGATGTTTCCATAAATGTCTAAAAGTTGATATATAGATACCGATTCATTTTCCCTTTTTATATTTTTTTCTTGGGTCCAGGAAGCAAAGATGTAATGCTCTATTAAAACTATCCTAGGCCAAAAACCAGAGCTGCACCCTAATTATTCTTTCTCACTTGGGAAAATTAATAGGCTATAGGCCTATTAATATAGTTTATCTTAGTCTTCTGTTATGTAAAAGAATTTATGGTATAATTGGGGTGATGAATTATTTCCCTTAAGACTTAACATATTTGATATAATTGTATAAAATGATGAGCCAGATTGCAAATATCCAGGTGACAGTAGGTCAGAGTTAAAGAACTGTGAATGAAACGGTTTTATTTTAGGAGAAAAGTGTAAGAGATTTCTAAACAAGCATATTTTGTCATTCTTTCTGGCTCATTACTTCCTCAGCCTGAAGTATAGCAAGAAGTTAAAATTTGAAGAAAAGGCATGATTCCAAAGAAACTAATTAGCTTCCTTGCTTTATTTTTGCAGGTCTTAATTCTGAAGGACTATACAGAGTATCAGGATTTAGTGACCTCATTGAAGATGTCAAGATGGCTTTTGACAGAGGTATGTTCTTCAGCACGTTCATTAACTCAGGGCAATAATCCTCTTTGCCAAAAAGGCATAATACCTTATGTTATTTTTTGCATCATTTTTCTAAATCATCAATGCTTGTTATACCAATTAAAAAGACTTAGCTTATGATTTTTAAAATTATTTTTATCAGTTGTGTTAAACTATTAAATTTCAAGGTGAGAAAGAAGCATAAAATTTAACTATATTACCTATATTTCAATATCCAAGGCTGTTCTATATTCATCAAAATATATGCAGAGCAATTCAATTTTTACCGAAACACATGGAGAAAATGGGAATGGGGGGATCCAAGTCATTGCTGGTCTCAGATTTCCCAGGCTCGAGTGGCCCATCTGACTGCTTGTCGTCCCTGCATCCTAATCACCATCTCTGACTGAGTGGAGACCCAAGTCCTGACTTGTGTCAGGGCAGGAAGCTGAGAGAAGCTGAGGACCTTCTGGCATAGGACCCTCCCCTGGTGGGGGGTGGGGCCCAGGCAGAGAAGAGCTCAGTGGGGTTTATTGTCTCTAACATTTAAATAAATTTAGACTTGGTCTCATGGGTCTCGGTTTTGTCTCTAAGTACTGGAATAAGGTGATACCAAAGACACCTGTCATCTTGAATGCAGGAAATGAAACAGAAAGAGCCTCTTTCCTTTGCAAGTATGTATTTCTAGTTCCATCATGCTGCTCCCCCAGCACCAAGGTCTCTCGGCCAGCACAGTCAGAAGACACAAGTAAATTAAGTGTTATTCCCAGCCTTGTATGAGGAAATCTAGATCAGCCCAAGTATTTGATAAAATCAAAGACAATGAAGGGAGGTAGTGGTATGTTAAATCCAAATAAGTATCAAGAATAGCCCTGAACCAGTGTCTATTTGAAGGTTAAATAGGATTTTCTTTCTTTTTCTAGAAGGTAGCCTGTCCATTCCCAGCCACTGGACAGGATTCTCAAAATTAACTCACACTGACAAACTGAATCCTTCCACGGGGCCCAGGACACACATGAATGGCAACAGTTTTCTCTCATTAAAAATACAAGACAGCCCTGGCCAGTGTTGCTCAGTGGTTAGAGCATGGGCCTATAGACCAAAGGGTCATGGGATTGATTCTGGTCAGCACGTACCTGGGTTGCAGGTTCAATCCCCAGCTCCGGTCAGGATGGTGCAGGAGGCAACCAATCGATGTCACTCTCTCTCACACTGATGTTTCTCTCTCTCCCTCCCTCCCTCCCTTCTACTCTATCTTTAAAAATCATTGGAAAAATATCCTTGGGTGAAGATAAAAAAAAATACAAGACAATCTTTTTGTGCCCTGAAAATACTAATAACAGATTTGAAAAATCTTGAGGTCACCCTGGCTCCATATAGTCACACCCTCGGAGCCAGATGATCACTTCTGGGGGGCTTAGTAACCCTGAAATAATGAGATCCATGGGGGAAAAAGGCAGGATCCATATCATGCTAGGCCGAACTCATTCAGTTCTAGTGTCTACGTAAAAAGGTGGTGTTTGGAAAATGTCCCCTCACTTAGGAGATGGGCACTGAATGGAACACTAGCTACCTCAAGGTCAGCACATGCCATTACAGCCTTGCCACGTTTTATCTTCGGGTGGAACAAAAAGTATTTGTGTGACCAATATGGTGAGAGATCCGTGGGAAGGTCAGAGCAAATAAACACCCTTGAACCTTCCCAAGGAGAGCCCCCCTCAGGAGTGCCCCAGTCTGGATGAAGTCAAGGACTGAAAGTAATAAAGCAATCAGAGCACAAAGGACATTCCAGTCTGCTACTGCATCAGAGAGAGCCCTACTTAGAATGCTGCATCTAGAAATCAAATTACAGAGTGCATTTATATTCCTTTAAAATAGATGTAAGAGAATATATGGATTCTTTTCAAAACGTGGGTTTTAAAGGAACCAGTTTAAGAATAATGTGTATAGTGAGTCCCAGAGTGTTAATATTTTAGGCTCCTAGCTTTTTAAAATCTATTTTCTAATGATTCGTTAAATCAAAAACATGTATGTAACAGCTACTGTGTGCCGGGTACCACGTTTTTTAGATACAGCAGTTGACCATGTACACTTGTTCCTTGCACTCATGGAGGGCTCACATTAAGTAGTAATCACACAATGGTTATTGATTTTAATAAATGCCAATAAGGAAACTATTACTAACTAGGGAACTTAACCTAGTCTATTAAGGTTGTGGCGGGGCAAGGAGGATGCTAGAGATCAGAATAGGCTTTCCCAAAGAAGAAATACTTATGCATTTATGCTAAAGTTCAAAGGATGAATAGGAGGTAGCTGTATATCCTAGGAGTGGGTAGAAACAGGGTATGTAAAGACCCAGACAACAGAGGAGACTGTGCAAAGGCCCTGAGGCTGACCTTGTCAAGGCCTGAAAGGTGTTGTGGCTTAGAGACGAGTAATTGAAAGGAAAGTGGACTGAGATGAAATGAACACAACATTTAACACAGAAAGAATTATCTGAATGGTAGTAGATTCTCAGACCTGTCTCCAAAGTTTGTTTAACACTATCATGTAGCTAAACTATATGAATTGTGACTTTACTTTCCAAACCAAAAATAGTACTGTAGCCAATAATGACAGAGGCTATTTGAAATCTGGATTCTCGTAGAAAAATACATAAGGAAAGGAAAATTTTTTTCTGAGTACAAATTTTGACAGAGGTGGTATTTGCCTTTGTCGTGTTTCTCCCTTCCTTCTGCTCTCGCATCCCCTTCTGCAGGTCCTTAGGCCCCCAGCACCTACATGCTTCCCCAGGGTCTGCATTGCCTTTTCCTTTGGAAAGTAATTTGTACTGTCACTGCATGTGATTTCAACCCAGGTATGACAGATGGGCACCGGTGACCTAACTGACACTCCAGTGTGAGTGTCTAACAGGCCAAAGTGTTTGCATTTTAAAAGAGGCTGTTAAAAAAATCCTTTAAATTAGTTTTAGGTTTACCCCAAAACTGAGCAGAAAGTACACAGATTTTCCATGTAATTCCTCCTCTCATGCTTCGGTCCATAGCTTCCCCATTGACATCTTTCATTGGTACAATAGATTTGTTAGAGTCTGTGAACCAATATTGTTGCATTAGTATTAACTAGAGTCAATAGTTTACATTAGGGTTCACTTTTTAAGTTGTACAGTTCTGTGGGGTTTGACAGATATATAAAGCTGTGTATGTACTGTTACAGCATCATACGGAACTTTCTCTGCCATAAAAATCCCTGCGCTCCACCACTTCATCCCTCCCCTCCTGCCCCGGCTCCAGCACCACTGGTCTGTTTACTGGCTCTAGTTGGGCCTTTCCCAGAATATCATATAGTTGGAATCAGAGTATCAAGTCTTTTCAGACTGACTTTTTTTCTTTTTTAGCCGTATTTAAAATTCCTTCGTGTCTTTCTTGGCTTGATAGCTCATTTCTTTTCATAGCTGAATAATACCCCATGGTCTGGGTATACCTCAGTTTATTCACCTAGGGAAGGCCAGCTTGGTTGCTTCGGGTTTTACACAATTATGAATAAAGCTGCTATAAACCTTTGTGTCGGGTTTTTGGGTGGAATATGTTTCAGCTCCTTGGGATAAATAGCTAGGGGCCCCATTGCTGGATTCTATGGTATGACTATGTTTAGCTTAGTAAGAAACTGCCTATCTTCCAAAGTGACTGTTCCATTTTGCATTCTCACCAGCAGTGACTCAGTTCCTGTCGCTCCACATCCTTACCAGCTTTGTCTTATCAGTGTTCTGATTTTAGCCATTCTAATAGGTGTGTGGTGAAAAGGATGCTGTTTAATTCATAGGAATCTCTCATAAACCAAATGGAACCAAAGAAATCCAGCATAAGATCTAGCTCAGAGTAGATACTAATTAAATCTTTGGGATGAAAATTCAGGTATTTTAACAAGTAGAGTACTGAATGTGCAGGGGAGCACGGAGAGGCCTCTCTGAAGGAAGATTAGCTGTGCTTGAGAGTCTTAGGCCCAGCGCCTCTGAGCTACCCTCCATTCTGGAACTCCTCCTCTTCTGGTTATTTCAATACTGTAAGGTTTGGTTTGGTTTTGCTCTTTTACTTCTCCCCACCTCCTCTGGCCCAGGACTCAGGCGCTGTCCAGACGTTGTGTGTGGGAGCCTGGGGTGGTACAAAGCACAGCATAATGGCCTTTGGTGCTAGGGGGTCTTTTGTAAGTTGAGAGTGTCTCTGTTGTCATTTTTCATATTTTCTGTGTTTATTTTTAAAAGAAAAAATCCCACTAGCCGTGAAATACAGAAATATTTCTGTTGACTCCAGTCCTCTCCTGATTTTCCCCTCCATAAGTAACATGGAAAAATAACTTCAGAATAGAAAATTCAAAAAAGTAGATATTGCTTTTCATAGAATATTAATCATTTATATCACCTAGCATACTGAATTTGATGTTAAAAACTGAAACATTGCTAATCTTTAAAAACTGTATACAGCCTGGCCGGTGTAGCTCGGTGGTTGAGCACTGACCCATGCACCAGGAGGTCGCTGATTCGATTCCCGGTCAGGGCACATGCCCACGTTGTGGGCCTGATCCCCAGTGCAAGGTGTGCAGGTGGCCAGTCGATGTTCTCTCTCATCAATGTTTCTGTCTCTCCCTCTCCCTTCCTTTCTCTAAAATCAATAAAGAAAAAATTTTTTAACTGTATACAGAAATTTGTCATTTATAAAAACAGTGCTGTGAATCCAAATGTTTTCTTTCTTTTAACATCCTTTAAAGATGGTGAGAAAGCAGATATCTCTGTGAATATATACGAGGACATCAACATCATCACTGGTGCGCTGAAACTCTACTTCAGGGACTTGCCAATCCCCCTCATCACCTACGACGCCTACCCGAAGTTTATCGAGTCAGCCAGTAAGTACGATGGCACGTCCCATGACCTGCCAGGCCGCCTCTCCCGGGGCCGCTTCTCCCGCTCTTTTCTGCTGAGTACCTCGAATGCATTTTATGAAATATCTCCTCTGTGCCCCTCTCCATGATTGATACACTCACGAGAATTGTGACCTGGTCTCTAACGTAGGTCACTTATGACTTCTGCCATCAGAAGCTTCTTTGTAATGTGCTAACCCTCATTTTCCAGAGGACGCTTCTGCCAGTGCTCCGCAGATAGGGGCCAACATTTTGTAAAGATACAATAACAGTAACTGGGAAAAGAACATTTAAAAATACAAGATCAACTATTTTGTTATTAGATTCAGCAAGCATAAGAAGTACTGTCAGATTTCAATAAAAGTTTCTAAATTCTTGCTCTCGGTGTCCTTACTCATCCTGTGACTGTTCACGGTGCACCGGCCTCAGTCTGCAGGAGCTCTGCTTTACATTAAGAAGTTAGTTTTTAAGTTCTAGTTAAGATGAGAATGAGGAAAAGCAAAGGCTCATTTGCCAAAGTCTATTTATAATGAAAAAAAAAAAATTATACCTGTAATTCATGCTTCACTTTTTAAAGGAAATGCAGAACAGATTTTAGCAGTCAGCATTACCATTTTTTACAAAAAAAAAAAAAATAGGCTATTTCTGTCATTTGCTTTTTTCTCTCTTAAAAACCACATGTTGTCTTGCTCTTTAAATATTAACATTACTTCCTTAGTAACACTGATTGGCTTTTTGACTTTGAAATCTCATGAAGCACAATTTTCCTTGTTGGCAGTTTTAGTTTCCTCTTCAGAGCTTTTGCTGAGAATTTTTGTGGTTAGTTCCATGGAGCCTCGATTTCTGTGGGTCAGCTCAGTGCTCATGTAGAGAACAGCCATGAGAATTGCCCTCGTTTTTACAAATTTTCATGTTATGAGCCTGGAAGGCTCTAGGTCTCTTCCATTGGAATTTAACTCCTCTCATTTGGGGATGGATTTATTGCTGAGGTTCTTGTTTTGTGGGGCAGATGTTACCTTCCAGAGAGATAAGTGATCGGCATGAATGTGGAAAGCACTGGACGCACACACTTCACAAAGGGCCAAGCTCAGCCCGTCTGCAGTGTGCTCTGATTCCCAGGACAACACTAGGGGCTCAGCTAGATGTTGTTCCTGTCCCCACATTGCTTGGGATAAAATTGAAACTTGGTTTCCGAGCCTAACCAAAGGGCATCAAATTAGCAGAGAACAAAGCAGTGACTGAAGCCCAGGTCCTGACTCTACATACTACCTCATCTGCTTAGAAAATCCAGGCCTTGCTTACTGGATTTCAAGCCCCATGCTCCCATATTACCTCATCTTCTTTCTCCACACTCACCCTTGTGGCTAAGGAAAATCTCCCCTTTGTTTTTCCAAACCATTTGTCATTGTTCTGGGATTTGTGTCTGAAACAGACCTGTCCAGAAGCAGCAGGCCCCTCATCTCACCCCGCAGAGAGAGAGCTCTTGAAAGCACAGCCTAAGAAAGAAACTGTCCTAGATCGAGATAGAAACTCCTTAAAATTTCAACTATTTTCATGCGTGATTTCCATGACAGCAAAAACCGTAGCATAATACTTACACACAATATAAATGTGTACTGTGCATGTTTGATGTTGATATAGTTGCTTGTAGAACATGTGTCCTTGTACCTGTCTTTTCTAGGAATAGACTGTCATTCTTTATAGACAAAGATACAGCCGTTCTCTTATCTATATAGGCAGATAAGGAAGAAAAAGGAAACCAAGATTTATAGAACAACTCTAGGTGCCAGGAACTATACTCAGTGCTTTACATGATATTATTTTATTATTACTTTTTATTGATTTTAAAAGGGGGGTGGAGAGGCCCTGGCCGGTTTGGCTCAGCAGTTAGAGCATCAGCCTGTGGTCCAGAGAGACCCGGGTTGGGTTCCCGCTAAGGGCACGTACCTCCATTGCAGTTTGTCCCCGGCCCCAGTTGGGGTTGTGCAGGAGGCAGCCACTCAATGTGTCCCTTTCACGTTAATGTTTCTCTCTCTCTCTCTCTTTCTTGCTCTCCCTCCCACTCTATCTGAACAAAAATGGAAAAATGTCCTCGGGTGAGGATAAAAAAAAAAAAAGAAAAGAAAGAAAAGGGTGGGGGGGGGGAAACATTGATTTGTTGTTCCACTTTTTTTTTGGTACGCACCCCTAGTGGGAACCGAACCTGGGACTCTCTGGTCCATAGGCCAACGCTCCAACCACTGAGCCAAACCGGCCAAGGCTGCTCCACTTAATTTACGCATTCCTTTGTTGATTCTTGTATGTGCTCTGACCAGGGATCTAACCCACAACCTTGGCGTATTGGAATGACGCTCTAACCAACTGAACTACCCGGCCGGGGCCCATGATATTATTTTAGAAAGAAATATTATAGGATATAAGTAAACTGTCCAAGGTCCTATCACTGGAGAAGGTGGCACCAGTGTTCAAACCCACATCTGTCCAACATCAAAGCCCTAGCTCTCTCCAGTCTGCACATTGCCTGGGTCACTTGATGGAACAAGAAACAGAAGACTTTCACAGGGGAGGATGAGAGACCAGAGGATAGGAACCCCTTCTCAATGAAGGACAGGGTTAGCTGACCCTTCCTGATGCACGTGCTCTTCAACTTTTTTATCTCTAGCCCCTAAAAGAAATTGAGCCATACTTTTTAGGCCTTAAGTATCTCTGGCATTTATTAGCATCCTAGCCAACAACAACAACAACAAAAATCATAGTTCATATTAAAGCTTTCTCTTGCAAAAGCAGTTTGAGCTCTGCTGCTGCAGCCTTTTTTGGAGAACTGGTTGAAAGCTGGAGGTGAGTGGCTGCAGCTGAGGATGAAAGGGGAGAGGCGGCCCTGGCATCCCATCTAAAGGCTTGAATTCTGCACAGTCCCTTGCTTGCTCCCTTATGAACCACCTGGAAGTCTTGGTCTCCCCAGTCCAGTTTTGCTCCTTCCTCTCCTTACCAATTAAGACATCTCTGCCGTCTAGTACTAAGGGCCAGGGAAGAGGTGCTTCTCACAGGGCCTGCTCACAACCCGCTTTTACAGATGCTTCCTGACTGGGATGCCGCGCACTGCCAGAGCGGACTCCCAGCACTTCTGCCTCGGCGCTCCCTCTGGCCAGGGCTCGAAGAGCTCTGCTCCCAGAGGGTCCTAGAGAAGCAATGACTCAGTGTATGGCTTTGAGTCAGATAAGCTCAGAAATGAAACCCAGGGTTATTTTTCCCAAGCAGCTTAAATGTCCTGAAGAGGAGCCTGGGAGTTAGAACTTGCTGAGTTTTTCTCTTAACTCTGCCTCGAATTCACCCCAAAAACTTCGCCAGGCTTTATTCTTTTTTGTCCTCGAGTTTCTCTGTAAAGAATTTAAATCATAAAAAGAGCTTTTACCTAGATCTTGGTTCAGAGTGTGCATTTCCTGCCCCCAGTGTCTGTATTTCCAGACCCTTCCAGCCCTTCCTCAGATGCCACCTCCTCCTCTCCTCTGTCTCTCAGCCGTGGGCCATCTTTCTCCTCTGTACTCCCTTCTTCTCTGTACGCTGGCTTAGACATCCTTCAAAGCCTCCTTCCTTCATGTATGTACTGTTACAGCATCACACAGAACTTTCTCTGCCATAAAAATCCCTGCGCTCCACCACTTCATCCCTCCCCTCCTGCCCCAGCCCCTGCGCCACTGGCCTGTTTGCTGACTCTAGTTGTGCCTTTCCCAGAACCTCATATAGTTGGAATCACAAAGGATATAGCCTTTTCAGACTGACTTTTTTTTTTTACTCTATTTAAAATTCCTTCGTGTCTTTCTTGGCTTGATAGCTCATTTCTTTTCATAGCTGAATAATACCCCATTGTCTGAGTGTGCCTCAGAACAAGATGATGTTCATGTCTTGTCTTCCCTGCTGGACTGCAGCCCCGCTACAGGTAGTCCTGCCCATGTTTGTTTTCCTACAGTGCCTGTGATGGTTCCTTGCTTACATAATAGATGTTCAATGAATAGTTGTTGAATGAGTAAACATAATTATATCATTGAGAACCGCAGAATCTTAGTTTTTAGGTACTCTAAAGAGTCATGTAACTAGACTTTCTTTTTTAAATACCGGTAACCACAAGATCACTACCCGTCCAGGGAGCCTGTCGGCTGGTGACAGGTGTTACAGCCTCGAGCCCCACGTGTGCACAACAGAAATCTGCACGCTGTTAACTCCCTCCCACTGGCCGTGGTCCTGGTGTCACCCTCTTCCAAATGCAAGCCTCTCACGTATTCAGAACATGAGTGGTGATCATTCGCCTCTAAATACATCTTAAATTATGCTGTGATCTTCTTAGAACTAAAGATTTGTGTTCTCTGAAAAATTGATGATGGGTAATACTCCTCTAAGTGGAAAAGAGAAATTAATTCCAGGGAAGAATCTCTGTCCATCTGATATCAGTCTATTCAGTATGTTTATTACATGTTCCCAAATGCATAGCTCCAATCTGGACCTCTGCCTGAACACCAGATTAATCCACAATCAGCATGTTCATTTGGATGTCTGAAAGACATCTCAGACAGAACTCTTGATCTGCCCCACAAAACCTCCTCCACCCATAGTCTTTCCCATCTCAGTTAACGGAGGTTCCTTCCATCCTCCCAGTTGCCTAAGCCAAAACTTGGCTCACTCTTGATTTGGTAGCTCTCATGCATCCCTCATCAATGACGCACGTGAGCTTAACCTTTAAAATTATTCCTAGAATCCAGCAACTTCTTATCACCGGCACTGCTACCACCTACCACCTAGTCTAAGCTAGTGCCATTCCTCACCTGAGTTTTGTAATAAGTGCTAAAATGGTTTTTCCGCTTCTGCTCTTGCCCCTTCCATGGTCTGTTTCCCACACAGCAGCCAGAGGGGAGATACTATGAAAACTGTATGTCAGACCATGACCGTCCTTTCTCTGTCAGTAAATGCGAAGTCCTTAGAATAACCTGCAGCACCTGACATGAGAGCATGTCATCACCTTTCTGGTCTCATCCCCTTCTACTCTCTTTGCTCACTCTACTTTGGCCACGCTTGGCCCCTTGCTTTTCCTCAAACATCACCGCCTTCTCTCCCCTCAGTTATCTTTGCTCGGCTGGTCTTCTGCCTGGAACCACCTTCCCCCAGATCTCCATGTGCTTCGTTCCCTGCTGCCTCAGAGCCTGTACACAGACCTTCTCACTCAGGTCCATCCCGTCCACCCCATTTATAATTACACCCCCCCAGCACGTCCAGTGTTTTTCCACAGCACTGACCTCATTCCAATAGTTACACCAAACATGTTTCTTGTTTCTCGTCAGTCCCCCTGCAGCAGAGCACGTGAGCTCCCCACGAACAGGGGATGTCGTTTGTTTCCACCCAACACTACCCTTACCTTCACACCATCTCAGGATTGTCCCAACAAGCATTAATTGTGGAAATGAAAAGAACTAAATTACTTTTTCAATTTTCAGAATAATGTAGTTTCCAATTAATTAGTCCTATATAACTGCCTGTAGTAAATGGAATTTCTTCTCTTAATTCTAGAATTTAAATTATTGAATTTCTGTATCTAAGGTGGTATTGTTATTATGAATTGGCACTCTTTAAAGGCCTCAAGGTTCAGAGACCATGCATTATATATCCTGGTAAATGTCAAATAATGCATTTTTTATTGCTAAGAAATGAACCGGGAACTCTGGGGAAGCTTTGGGCAGAAATTGTAAAATGGCCAAAGTTTCTTTGAATTAAAAAGCCTCGCCTGGCTGGTGTGGCTCAATGGTTGAGTATCGACCTTCCTCTGTCTAAAATCAATAAAGAAAAGAAAAAAAAATTTTTTTACGCCTCAGTCACTGTTCACATTCTGAAATTTATCAAATCCACTCTGCCAACACCAAGAACTTTTCACACTCATAGCAGTTTTTACCTGACTCCAATACATTGCCATTGAGTTGATTGATTTTATTAAATCTGAAAGACTAGGGTTCTTGTTCTTGTGTCTTGAATGTCACACTCTAACCAGATGTGGCCTTCCAGCGTTTCACAGCTGCTATCCTGATTAAGACACAGCGTTTGGGGTCCCTTTGCATTTGCCCTGAAATCAAACATTTAAAGGCACCCCATCTTCCTGACGTTTGTGTAGAAGCAGAAATGTGCTAGGTTAGAGCACAGAATCACAAAGATGTCTGTTGTTTCTGATTATGAAAAGAATTGATTAATTCAGTGTGATCTGTAACCTCAAAGGAATGTGCTGGGTTTTTGGCCAACACACAGAATTAGAATGTCCACCTAAAGCTGGTCCCCTTCACAGCTGACACCTTTGGAAGAGCCACATCTCTGTCAGGATCCTAGTCCCTCAGTTCGTTTGAAATTGCCTTCAAATTCTTCACTGTATCTTCTGAATACCCCAAATAGTGGAGTATCTTTGTGCTTTGAGGTTAGACTTGGCTATATTATATAACACAAAGTAATTTAAAACTAAATCTAATCAGCCCTGGCCGGTTCGGCTCAGCGGTTAGAGCGTCGGCCTGCGGTCCGGAGAGACCCGGGTTCGGTTCCCGCTAAGGGCATGTACTTCGGTTGCAGTTTGTCCCCGGCCCTGGTTGGTTGTGCAGGTGGCAGCCACTCGATGTGTCCCTTTCACATTGATGTTTCTCTCTCTCTCTCCCTTCCTCTTTCTCCCTCCCACTCTATCTGTACAAAAAATGGAAAAATATCCTCGGGGGAGGATTAAAAAAAAAAAAACTAAATCTATTCAATAAAGGAAGTAAATATTAGATGATACATTTCTTGGTTGAAAAGGGGAAAAAAGCATGAATATTAAGTAATACGGCTTTAGCAGGGGTTACCAGGGGCAAAGGGATGGCACGGCTTCTATACCGTTGCTGAAAGGGAATTTTCAGAATATTTTGAACATTCCTTAAATATGTCTGTAGTGTTCTAAGATGACCCCTTTTGGGTGTGTAAGTTTTTATTTGTATGTACATATGTGTCTGAATTTTTTATAGTTACATCTTGTATGTCTAATAGCCAATTTCCAGTTAACAGACTCCAGGACATTCCAGTGAACAACCTGGATGCTCTCCCCAAAAGTCCAGTATTACCCAAAAGTCCAGTCGCATTGCCACATTGAAACTGAGCCTTTGGAAATCTGAGGCTTGAGCCTTAAAAATATTTTCCAAGACTGTGGGCGAGGATCTGTGAGAAAGCGTTTCTTACTAGTTTTTAAAGGTCACCACAAACCCTGGCCGGGTGCTCGGTGGTGGGAGCTCCCGCCCTGGACCAGAGGTTTGATCCCAGGCAAGGGCATGTACCTGGGTTGCAGGTTTGATCCCCAGCCCTGGTCACGGTCGTGTGGGAGGCAACCAATGATGTGTCTCTCTCACTTCGATGTTTCTTTCTCTCTCTTTCCCTCATACCCTTCACTCTCTCTCAAAATCAATGGAAAAAATATCTTTGGGTGAGGATTTTTTTAAAAATCACCACAAGAATGTAATTAAGTGAGCCATGTATACCCGTTGTCTATTGAAGGTTTTCTCGTTGGTATTCATTGAACTTTCTACTTTAGAAATGATGGATCCTGACGAGCAGCTAGAAACCCTGCATGAAGCCCTGAAGCTGCTGCCGCCCGCGCACTGCGAAACCCTCCGGTACCTCATGGCGCATCTGAAGAGGCAAGTCTGGGGCGCGGCCGCTGCTCGGCGCCCGCGTCTTCAGACTGAGATGAAGCCCAGGGGGAAAGAAAGGACCTGACCCGTGGCCCGAGTACACGCAGGCACAGCGGTGTCGCGTGGTGTGAAGTTGCACGAGGGGAGAGGGGGTACTAAAATACTCCGCGCGGTACCAGACGCACACCCGACTCCGACGAGAACGAAGTTGCAGTGCCACGGCGGGGGGCAGGCACGGTAGACGCACGCACGGTCCGGACGTGCGTGAGTTCTGTGGGGAGGGGGCGGGGCGCCGGGAGACTGCGCAGCCGCAGGAAGGCTCGCGCTCCCCGCTGGGAAGCAGGCACTTCCACGGGGATGGGGTTGTGGGCTACTGGAGTCCTGGTGCTCGCACCAAAAACTGCTGTAAAAAATGATGGAGTCAAGTAAGGGGTGAAGGGAGGGATGGAAAATAAAATATTTCGTCACTCTGGTTTAATGTTTCAAAGTGATGGATGGTGATGGAGCTTTATTTCCCTGCTCAGTCACCCTCCATCTCCACCCGTTGAAGCAACGTTTTTAAAATTATATGACCAAGATGTCGTGGTTATAGGGTTTCCAAATATAAGACCAACCAGAAACAAAAACGACTTTGACATGGGTGTTATATGCCTTCAGGCATGAGTTACCCAGAAATGAACGTTTAATTCATGGTGCTTTTAATATTTACATGTTTCTGCTCTTGAAAAGCACCATGAGTTAAAACTTCTGTTTAATTGGCTTACAACTTCGCTTGTAAATTCGAGTTTGCTTCATATTTGGACGCAGTTAAGTGTCCCACACTAAAACTAAGAAATAACTCTCCAGTTAGAGTCCCTGTGCCTTCACTGTGGCGGTAAAAAGGATATAGACACTCTCTCTGGGGAGGTGCCTCACCCTGAGCCATTTCCTATGATGCCACTGCACCCTCTCTCTGCACGCGTGCAGCACCAACCCCCGGAAACGAGCCCAAGTGGAGGGAGAGCGGGCTGATGGGGTCATCGGCACAGCCGTTTCTTCTGCTATCAGCAGACATCGCCCTGCAGCTCTAGGCTGGCCGGAGAGGCCCCAAGGGGACGGAGCCCACACAAATCTTGTTTTTGTTTTCGTGCCAAAGCCCCACTGAAGAACCCCACGGCTGACACAAAATCATACTCCTTTCCTTGTGTTTTTCAGAGTGACCCTCCATGAAAAGGAGAATCTTATGAATGCAGAAAACCTTGGAATTGTCTTTGGCCCAACCCTCATGAGATCCCCAGAACTAGACGCAATGGCTGCACTCAACGATATACGGTATCAGAGACTGGTGGTCGAGCTGCTTATCAAAAATGAAGACATTTTATTTTAAACTTTTAGTTTGAGGGAAGAAAGAAATGTTTTACAGATGAAGGAATGTTTTATAGTAAATTAATTGGCTCTTACAGCTGAATTATTTCTTGGTTAGGAGTTCGGGCATATAACCAGTTTAAAATGAAGGAACTTTCCGTTGTTTTTGTAGCACCGCTCAGCTGTCCTTGTGAAACAGTGCACACACGCTTTCCATTTCTAGTAACCCTGGGTGTTTATCACGTTGAGAGAAACTCAGGCTATTGCATGATTAGCCCCTTTGGCAAGGGAACCATACAAAGGAGACAGCAGCCCTCGCCGCATTCCGTCCTGGGTAGTCTGTGGTTGTCATTCAGCATGTTTCGCAGAGTGAATCTGTCGTGACTTCGCTTGGGTTCTGTCACTGGTCTCTGACGCTTATATAAACATGCACATCGAGGGGCAGAACAGCACCTCTGGCCGCTGCACGCCGTAGACTAACATATGCCTACTTTTCTCCAATGCTTTATTTCTGGGTCTTAGTTCTTCTCTAACATAGTACTTTCTTTCCAGCAAAAAAGCAAAATGTTTTCAGATTTGTTACTTTAGTAAATGATCCATACCAATAAAAAAATACAACGCAGAGCATTTTCTGTTAAATTATTATTGGGTTTTAGTTGTAACTTTGTGTTTTTATCTGGCATGCGTTTATTAATTTATTAAATTTGGCTTTTAGAAATTAAAAATAGTGATAGCTTGCTTTTTTTCCATGATTGAAAATAGTCAGAAACATGTGTTTGGCTATTTAACACTGAGTAGTCCCTCTCATCTCTGTTACTATTGAAAGTATTGTGTTGAGTTTCTAAAATAATTTAAAACCTTTTAGAATTAGAACACCCATTCATTGGATTTATTTTCCTTCTTGCATACTCTGACAAATCTAGACTATTTCCTGGACTTGTGGGGGTGGGGGCGCAGGCAGGAGTTTTCCTCTAGAACCATCAGAAGAAAGAAAAAGGCCAACTAAAAAGAGTGACTTTCAGACATTTGGTTTGTTGCACATGCGTGGTGTTGAAGCAGCTGAGCAAACAGTGCTGCCCGAGGTGAGTCCCAGATAGCAACCTGACAACTGGAGGAGGTGGTCTGCAGACACCCAGGGAATGGACTTCATCTTGTCACTAGCCACCCGTGTGGCTTTAAGCAAATGACCCTCCAGAGTCTGTTTCCATCTGTTAGCCGAGCGAGCGCCCGTTCAGAACTACAGTTCTGTTGCTTGTGAGCTCTCCTGGAGTGTTGGGTAATTAACACTCCTTGAAATGAAGGAACAGTTCTCAGTCGCTCAGAGAGGCTCTTACTCAGTAACTAGCCTGAGTCTTTTATATGTATCTTTCTCTGACTAATGGAGAGTTCTCAGATCATGACCTTTCAGTGAGGAGGCAGAGGTATTGGTTTGTTTCCATCACGGTCAGGAGGGACCAGTCCACTCTCTATGATCACCCAGAGACTTGCAGCCCTGCAGAGGCTCTGCCCTGAATATAAAGTCCCTGTCTTCCCAGTTTTCTATCTATAGTTTAAAAAGAAATTATTGAGAAATCAAAGATTTTTTCTTCTCTGCATTTTTCGTTTGTAATGTCAGTTAGTTATACCAGTTGGCAGAGGAAATCGTTTTTCACTGAATGGAGATTTCAGATGTCTCTAAGTGGAAGAACAGGTATTCATCAAAATGTTTCTGGTTACCTGATGAGCTCAAATAGAAGGCCTCTGAATAGATTAGGTTCAGGGTTCCAACACTGCTCATTTTAACAAAATATTTTAGAGTTTACAGCCCCAAAGCTGATTAGGTATATTGGTAAGTCCATTGAAAGAGCAAAAAGATTTTTTTAAATGCACATCAGAAAAGCAGGATACCCAAAACACTTCTCCCGACTGTATATTTCAGTCTTTGGGAGACTAACTTCTTATGGAACTCTTCAAGCATCTCTGTAACTTGATTTGCCTGTGACGACGATATGGCGTTCACATTTTCCTATTAGTGTTAAGTGAGGGGTATTTCCTTTTATGAACTGAAGTACTAGTGAGCCTTACATATATCATTTCTCACACATCACATCTCCACTGAACATCTGGGCAGTTCTGACCCGATTGGCATGCATTGTGCAATGTAGGAGAAGGCTAAGAAGAATGTAGCATCATCAGGGATATGTTTCCCTAATTTTTAGAGCTAATTATCACTTGCATTCTGTCTCCAAATCAAGCCCAGACCTGCGTCCCTGGTTATATCTGCAGTCTTCATTCCACACCCATTTCCTGCCTGCTCCCCATGGGCCAGGCCCTGTGCTAAGCCTGGGAACAAGGCCAGTTCTGGTTCTCAAGGAACTTACTGGGTCAATCTGGCCTAGTCAAACTTGAATTCTGTCCTTTTTCTTATTGAGCATGCATTTCCTATGGGCCTCAGCCCTAGACGTCAACAGACCGCTGCATGGGCAGCCTTGCCTTTCTTTGAGGAAATGTGCGCTCACCAAGCCAGACTATTGCAAGTCCACTGGATACTTTTAATTGACTGCACACATTGATTTGACCAGTAAGAAAAGGAGATAAAAAGTGAAAATGATTTCGCGCATACCCAATGTGAGCTGATGGAGGCCTCAGAAGATCACTGCTTACTGCCCGTCACTGTAGCTGAGTGGTACCCGAAGTGGGATATCAGAGCACGGAACGCCCCGCCTGCCGTCCTCGGCCATGGGCCCACCGCCCCGAGTTCCCTCCTCCCCGTGAGGCTGGGCTCACCGCCCCCGAGTTCCCTCCTCCGCGCGAGGCTGGGCTCACCGGCCTGAGTTCCCTCCACGTGAGGCTGGCGATGTTGCTATCGGCACATCGCAGCCACGTGTGCCTGTCTCATTTTGGCCAATTCCATGCACAGTTGGTGGTCATTCTGGAACAAGAAATGGTCTCAGCTTGAGATGAGAGCTCAGAGACTCACCATTGATCTAAAGCAGACTGACAATCCTTTTATTTCTTAAATAGTAATGATGAAAAAAAAAAGTGAAGTAGTTGTTTTCCCCTGGTTTTGTAGAGTCAAGGAATTAGGCTATAACTAACCAACCAAAGACCAATTAGCAACTTTATTAATGGAGGTTGTATTATACTTTTATTATGGATTCAAAGGTTTATTGGTTTCATCATACTTTTCTGTCTTACTAAAGTCATTGGAACCACTCAGCAAATGCTTAAGTAATTTCTAAAGTAAAATTATTTCACTATATATGCGTATCACATGGGGATCTCACATCAGTTGTTTTTTCACAGATTGAAACCAAAAGTCAAGAGAGAGCTAACCTAAACATTTATTCATTCACCACCATGTAGTATAAGGAAAACCCTGATTTATGGGTTTCATTGTTCTCTACTGAAGATACTATATATTAATACAGTCTTTTAGTTATAGCATATTTCACAATGTAAATGGTCTCCATTGCTTTTTCCGTCAAAGATCACAAAACAACACAAGAAGCTTGAGCCCTGTGTTGCTGACCTCGATTTTGGAGCTCTGGTGAACACCTGGAAGCGTTGGGGGGTTTGTTGTTGTCCAGATACAGCCACAGTCACACTGTACCAGGAAACACCAGCATGTGAAGCTAAAATATCTAGGGATTTTTTTTCTAGTTATAAACTTAGCTACGTAACTGCCCACGTCACTCTGGTAACACAAAACACAGAGAAAGTAATGTTTAGAGATTAAAATGACTCACTGAAAGAAATGAGCAAAAACAGCTTTCTAGATGTAAAATGCTATAAATTCGGGATGGTCTAAAAACAAAAACTTTGGTTTTCGTTGTATCAAATTTATACCAATTAGTTTCCTCTGATGTCTATACAGGTACCACCTGGGCACAAGCCAGGGCTTGTCCATGCGAAAAATATCAAGGCCTGGCCTGATAGTTGAGTGGACATTTTCCAAAGATAGTTTTTATTCTTACCGAAGAAAATTCATAAGAGTGTGGAATAATTTGCTCAAGTATTTTAAACATTATATCCAAACTATGTGAGACGGGATGACATGGGCATACAAAGGTCAAATACATCAGCGTCACAAGATTCTAGGAACATTGTAACATCAAAAACATAAAATGTGGGCTGGGTGGAGTGGAGTAAAATGTAGAACTTCTAGAATATGTTCGAACTTCAGTTTTTTGTTTTGTTTTGTTTTGGTTTTTTATCCTCACCCGAGGACATTTTTTCCATTTTTTGTTCAGATAGAGTGGGAGGGAGAGCAAGGAAGAGAGAAACATCAATGCGAAAGGGACACATCGAGTGGTTGCCACCCACACGACCCAACCAGGGCCGGGGACAAACTGCAACCGAGGTACGTGCCCTTAGCAGGAACTGAACCCGGGTCTCTCTGGACCACAGGTCAACACTCTAACCGCTGAGCCAAACCGGCCAGGGCTGAACTTCAGTTCTTATCATAAAATAGACTGTTGCCATTTGTTTTATGTAAGCTTCATGGTAACCACAAAGCAAAATCTATAGTGGATACACAAAAATAAAGGAATCTAAGAAAAATCACAGGAAGAGAGCAAGAGAAAGAAGAGAGGAACTACAAAACAGCCAGAAAACAATTAAAATGGCAATGAGTACACACCTATCAATAATTATTCTAAATGCAATGATCTAAATTCTCCAATCAAAAGACAGAGTGGCTACATGGATAAAAAACAAGATCCATCTATATACTGCCTACAAGAGAGTCATTTCAGATGTGAGGACACAGATTGAAAGTAAAGGGACAGGAAGATATTCCATGCAAATAGAAACCAAAAGAAAACAGCTATTTTTGTATCAGATGAAACAGACTTTAACACGAAGACTATGAGAGAAAAGGATGGGTAGCACATGATAGAGGAGCCAATCCCATGAAAGGATATAACACTTGTAAATATTCATGCACCCAATATAGGAGCACCTAAATATATAAAGCAAATATTAACAGACCTAAAGGGAGAAATAACACCCAGATGGGAAATCAATAAGGAAACACTGGCTCAGTTAGACCAGAGGGACTTGACAGACATATGTAGGTGCACCTCGTTTTACTGTGTTTTGCTTTACTGTGCTTCACAGATGTTGCTTTTTTTTTTTACAAATTGAAGGCAAGACCTTGCACCAGCAAAAATATTACACTCATTTTATTGTGGTGGTCTGGAACTGAACCCATAATACTGACAAGGTACCCTGCCAGTGCAGGACGTTCCACCCGGCCACCGGAATGCACCTTCTTCCCGAGCACACATGGACATTCGGGGTAAATCATGTTAGGCTACCAAACAAGTCCATACATTTAAGAAGGTTGAAACCATAGCATCTCTTCCAAGCACAATGGAATGAAAGTAGAAACGAAAATGAAAAGTCACAAATCTGTGGAGATTAAACAACATGCTACCAAACAACCAAGGGGTCAGAGAAGAACTCAAGAGAAATTTTAAAATACCCTGAGACATAAAAATGGAAATACAACATACAAAAATCTGTGGGATGCACCAAGTCTAGGAACAGAAGCAGCCGTGGCTCTGCACCAGGAGATGGCATTAAAAGTAGCCATAAATGTAAGGGCTCCAGGCGCTCAGCCCATTCGGGCCTGCTTCTCTGGTTCCACCCTGCTGGAGCCCAGTGTCCCGGTTTTCAAACTTCACCATGTTTCAGAATCACCTGGCGAGCTTGGTAAAGACCCCATCTCTAATGTCTGTATTAGGTCTGAGGCAGGGCCAAAATGGACATTTCTAACAAGCTCCCAGTTGTTGCTGCTGGTCCCAGGATCACACCTCGGGA